ATATCAGACAAAATAGACTTTAAGGCAAGAAGAATTACTAGAGAGTAAAAGAGTACCCTTTTATAATAACTAGGTCAACCAATAAGGAAGATACATCAATTCCAAATTTGTATGTCCTAAAAAGATAGCTTCAAAATACATAATGAAGCCCTTTTGTTATGATAGAGGGGTCCCTTCATTGTCCTGTGGTGAGTATATCTTGCTCTTACTCCGTAAACCTATATCTTGCTCTTGCTCTGTAAGCCTATCTTTTCCTTCCTCAGTAAACTTCGTTTCATGCTTAAAAAAAATACATAATGAAAAAAGAAGTAATAGAAATCCACACGCACACCTCTCAGTAACTGATAGAACAAATGATGCAAAGCAGTGGAGGTACAAAAGCTCTAAGCAACAGTCAATAAACTTGACCAACTAACATGTACAGAGTACTGAACCCAACAAGTACAGAATTTTTTAAATGAGCATGGAACATATGCCAATATTAACCATATACTGGGCCAAAAAGCAAGTCTTAACAAATTTCAAAGGCTGAAATCATATAGACAATGTACTCTGACAATTTTACTAAAGTAAAATTAGTCAGAATTAATAATAAAAGATAAATTAAAAATTCAAAAATGTTTGAAAATTAAATAATATACTTCCACATAACCCATGAGTCATAGATGAAATCACAATGAAAATTAAAAAATATTTTTAACAGAATAATCATGAAAATATTGTATTTCAAAACTTGTTAGATATAGCTAAAGCAGTAATTATAGGCTGCTATATATTAGAAAAGGCTGAAAATCAATTATGTAAGTATATATTTCAAGAAATTAGAAAAATAAATCAAATAAAACTCAGACAGTGAAAGCAATAATTAAAAAGCTAAATGTATAAATTGATGAAATTGAAAAAAATGACAATAAAGAACACCAAGAAGTCTAAAGTTAGTTTTGGGAAAAAATAATAATATCGATATCCTCCAGCAAGACTGATCAAGAGAGAGAAAAAAAAAGTGAGAGCAAACACAAATTATCAGTATTAAGAATGAAAAAGGATACGTCACTATTGATCTTACAAACATTAAAAAATTTGAATAGATAAAATGAAAAAATTCATAGAAAAAAGAAAACTTACAAAATTGACACAGAAGAACGAGAAACAGAAAATATGAATAGTTTTATATGTTTTAAAGAAAACAAACTTGTAATTAAAAGCCTTCTTGCAAAGAAATCTTACACCTTACCTAGCTTCATGTGTGCAGTCTTCCAAAATACTAAGGAAGAAATAACATCAAACTTGCAGATGTTTTCAGCTAATAGAAAAAGAGGGATCACTTCCTAACTCTTTTGATGAAATTAGCATAACCTTGGCTCCAAAATTTGACAAAAACATTTTAAACATAACAATTTCTGTATATTAATGCATTTGAGATCTATTTAGAGAAAATTCTTCACTAAAAGGAAACATAACTAAGAAGTAACCGCTGCACAAAAGATAAGCTATTATTTCACACAACCATAAATCCTATCATTATCTCCAGAGAAATGGCATGTTTTAAAATGATGACATAGGTATATAGTATTTTAATATAAATAACATACCAATCTACATCCTTCTATTGAGATTGAAATGATATAAAACAGAATTTTTAAAAACTGGAATTAATTCACATGGGGATAATTTAGGAATATTCTATGTGAATTAAAGAGAACAGTTACCTACAATAAAAAGGTTAGTCATTCTGGTCTAATAATTCCATAATATTAAAAATAGGTAGAAGCGAATGTAATTTTTTTACATTTTGCTTATTATAATTTAACTGGTCATGGAGAACATTTTGCAAAAGCTTAAGAAGGCAAATTTTTAAAAGTTCATTTGGACATTCTTTTGTAACAGTTTATTTCTTCCTGTAAAATTCCTTTTAGAAGCATCAATAGAGAATTTCTTCTAATTATCATTACTTTCATCACACCCCATTTATTAAGGCTGGGTGTACAGGTAGTGCTCAAACTGTCCCCAAATAAGTCATATCTTACCAGGGGAAAGGAATGGGCCGTTGGCCACCAGGGCTTGCTTCATGGTTACTTTGTATTTAACCAAGAATGATGCAGAATTTTCTGAAATTAATCCTGACAGCCCAAGATTTAAATTAATGCTAGGGGTAGTAAAATGTGAAAAGTCATAATTTAATTCTGAAAAGACACCATAATTCCTTTCTAGAAGACTATAGTCTGTTAGAATTTCATATGTACAAACTACATTATAATACTATAATCAATATGAGGGAATCTTCTTGAATTTCAATAAAAAGAGAAAATGACTATATATAGTATATCAACATGTGTGCGTGTTTGCATGTTTGAGCATGTATGTTACACAGCTGGTCTCCTTTGGCTGAATGTGGTGCAGGTATGTGTCTGTGATTGCCCATGTGTGAAATACATTTGCCTACATCAATAACAAGTATTTTTTAAGTATATAATGATCAGAAGCAATAATGCTATTAAAATGACTTCTGTTTATATAGTATTTTCAAAGATTTTTCATGTCTATTAACTAATTTTTATCTTTGCAATAGCCTATGAGATAATTAGATTAATACTGCCTCCTCATAATACCATGAAGACTGTGAAGAGGCTATTCTTTCTTATTTAGAATTTTATTTTTTCTCTTATCTTTATTTTTGACTAAGGGAGCTGGTTAAGCTTTATTATAATAGAAGGTTTTTTTTCCCCTGCATGGGGTGTTAATTAAAGGGGCTGAGTGGTCCTCAAAGTGATAAGCTATTAGATTTAGAATTAAATCATGTATGTATGTGTGTGTATTTAAGAAGAATATGTAAGAAAGACAAAGTTGATCTTGTTTCATTCTTATACACTTTTGTAGACACTCTATTCACTCTGATACAGTCTTTTGGTATTCTGGGATCTTATGGATGATGGTACCTGCCACCCCCGACTCCTACCAAAAATATACTCCTTAGATAATGTGCCACACTCCAAATTTTTTTCACTTTTTCTTTGTCAATGTCCTTATTTCACTAGATATTAATATTTGTCTTTAATAAACTAAATTATGCTAAGGTACAAATTACTGTGAATTGTTTGATATACCTACTAGAGAAAATTGCATCTATCAAAGGAACTTGAGAGGCAATAATAGTTTCTTATTTAAAGGCATAATTAGAGGAAGTAGAGCTTCACACAGTCTGGCAGGAATCTAAGATCTTCCTGCCACTCCTTCAACCATATCTCTTAGGCAAATGCTTCCACCATCTACTAATATAACTGCTTAGGTACAAGAAAGCTAAGAAGGCAACATGTTGCCTGGATGTACTTACAGGTCACCGTGAATGAGTCCATATATCTGTGGCATGCTCTGATGATAGATTCCTCTCAAAATAACTATGAGGAGAATCACCACAAAAGCTGGAAGTCCCCAACTCAGAAGGAAAAACAGCAGATATCTCCTCTCTGTGTGTTCATCATTCATCACCAGCACGTACCAGAAATTCACAGACTAAGGAAGGAAACAACCACATAAAATGAACAGGTTCTGGTTTAATGGCAAAGAACACAAACTCACCTGGCTTAGGCATTAAGAGTTACTGACCAACAAAGGGCTAGGGTCTACTTAATAATTATGAAGTTTTGATTAGATTTTTTTAGTTAGTTCATGCATTCATTCTTTCACACATCTGAGAAATTCAGGATACCTCAAAAGTCTGGGAACACAGGGAAATATTTAGTTTATAATATTTTTTATT